GCTAAACCTAGGCTCTAGAGTAAGACTTATAACTATAGGCTGATTTATAGAGATCTGGAATATATACTTACTTTTAAAGGGGGTAAGAGGATAGCTCCTATTAATAGTTATACCCTATATAGAGTATCTAGTAATATTTAAGAACCTTAAATTTTCCTAATTAAACTCTATCCAAGAGGGAAAGCGAGGATATTAGGAGATAGTATATCCTAGATCCAGGTAAGATATATATTAAGTAGATAAAAGTACCTGTTAGTAATATATATACTATATAGTATAGCCTCTTTTATAATATTACTTAAATACTTTATTACTCGGACGAAGGGGATTATCTATAATATCAGGATTAAGATATTTCTGGAGTTAAAAGATAATAGGAGCTGTAGAATATAAAGTAGTAGGCAGGGAGTTTTTATTATAGCTAGATATAAGTTACTTAGGGTAATATTATAATAGTAGTATACTTATTCTGAGGATACTCCTTCCTATACTATATATATATAGTACTTATCATAGCGCCTAATAACAGGGCTACTAGAGAAATCAAAGTCCTTACCTTACCTCCTATAATCAGGATATAGTTTACAGATAATATAGCCTGCTATATTTTGATCGGTAGATCTATTACTATATATAACTGAGTAGGTACCACAGGTACAAACTTTAATCTTTTTATAATACCAGTATATACTGTATTTCTCCGAGTAGTATATATTATTATAATAACCACAAACTTTACAACTGCCTTCTCTTCCTGATAAGTATATAACTATTCGCTAGCTAGTACTATTAGTACGTTTAGTATTAAAAGTAACTCCTACTCTATAGAAGCTGACTTATAAAAGACGGAAAATATATTAGAAGAGTATATTAATATTTCTAGCTTATTTAATTTAATATTAAGTTTAAGGCAGAATCTTAAGGCTATTTTATATTTTACAGTAGGTCTTTCTACACATCAGTCTTACAGGTACTGTAAAGGTAGGGTGGACCCGGCCTTTCCAACAGCGTATCAGAAATGCTGATACCTATATCTCACATACCACCTGATCCTGACTCGCTGGGTATTATCTACCCGCTGATCACTTTTCATTTTCTCTTCCCATAGTTCTTATCTATACTGACCAAGGAACGTTTCAGTTATCCACAAATTCAGGGGCTATAGGCTATCTATATATTCGGGGGTTATAGAAAAGAGAAAATAGATAAAAAGCATTATATTTATATTATCAAACAGTACTCGGAAGATAATTTACTTCTTATCTTATTTACCGCTGTAAGGGATATAAGAAATATATAGCAGTATTATTAAAGGTAGAAAAGCTTAGCAGTATCATTAGGGTAGTATTCTTATTATATATTTATTACGCCCGGGAGAACGAATCTTATAAGCCAGTAGCTAAGCTAAGCTGTATATGCTTCCCCGCTTTTCATCTAGATCACCTAATAAAGCCCTACTCTTTTTACCAGCTCCTCTTTTCCAGCCTCGCTTACTTGACTCTGCTTAGCAGGCCTGCTTAAAGGTCTATTGCTCCAAGTGCTCAGTATTCTATCTCCAGTAGCTAAAGCATGGTCTATTAACTCGAGGCTATTTAATATTAGTAGCTAGTATCCCTTCTTTACCTCAGTCTTCCCGTCGTTATTGTAAACCTGACTGCTGCTTATACCGCCTCTAGGTTAGGTACCTATTTAGGCCCGTCTAGCGCTGACTTCCCACCTAGGAAGAAGGAAAGGTTTCCTATTATCCTTTATCTCGTTCGCTGTATAACTTTACGCTAAGTATACTATCTCGAGTATCAGAATAGGAAGTATTATATTGTTTCTGGCGCGTACCTACATATCTCTGACTCCGCGCCTTCTATCTTGCTCAGGTAGCTGTTGATCCTCGCCATTCCTGTACGAAGCTGTGAGAGCACCTTGGCCTCTTATTGCTTTGATTGTCGTATACTTGCCCGGCAGGGCTCGGTCGACTTGCTTAGAGTAGCCGCCTACTTTATCGGGTAGGCTTCGTTGCTGGTGCAGTTGCGCCGCCGCTAGCCTGATCCGAGTTGAGCGAGCCTGGTATGGCAGCGATTGTAGTGCCCTCAGCCCTTGCTTCGCCCTACGGCCGATGGTGAGTTCATTGTCCCGGGATGGTATCCAAATCATCCTGACCCTGTTACTTCCTTTCCCTGTTAATTACTCACGTGATCTTCTCACTAAAAGCTCTATCCCCTGCATATCACTCTTGCCTCCGTCCGATATCTATCTGTTCCTATCGATCGAACGCCTATTCCGTATTTCAGGCGACATGCGAAGACAGGGGTATCTCCTATATACACGATGCAATAGACCAGCTTAACTAAGAAGGTCAGTTGTGCCTGTTTGTCGCTTTATAGTAAGATCGGCTTAAGTCGGCGAGAATATTACTTTCGTATACTAGGATTGTTCAAGATTATGGTTCTCAGGACGAGTAACAAGAATCTCTTCGCATGACTGTTCGCCTCGGCGATCTAGAAATGTACGATCTGCTACTCTCCATTGGCAGAGTCAATCTATGCTTAGTCCTAATACGCAATACTCAAGGGTAAATAACTTTCTCGGGTGAAACTGCTGATAACGAGGGATCTTTATATTGACCTGTAGTCCCACAAAGGCGATATAGTGAGGAAATACGCCATATATCGGTTGTTATTTTTGGCCCAATGCCTACATATGATACCATTGTGTGAAACATGCAGATCACAGGCTATCTTGATAACTAGAATTTGGTATTACAAATATACTATCTACTTTGACGAACATTTGATAGGGGTTGAATTCATTCTGCAGGTAAAACCCCCACCCTGCCTGGACCATAATGTTTGACAGGCCTTGGATAATTCTTCATGCAAAACTTATCTCGTGGCTTGACCCTGCCAGACTTCTCAGCCCGTTTGCCACTTTTCAGCTGGCTGCACATGGGGGGATACCAAACCAGAGAATGTGCTTGTTGATAACGAGGATAACGTTTGGCTTATTGACTTTGGTAGTAGTTATATAGATGGCTGGGTAGAGGAAGAGCAGTACGGTATACAAAGAGGGGATTTAGAAGCTATAGAAAAAATATAATAATAGCTTGAACAACTGGGAGAAGCACTGATAATTACTCTTAGCTGAAGAAATATATTAAAAAGTTGAGTAATCTACAGATAATTAAGTTATATGTACTATTTTCCTCGGTATCGAGTAAGCTGAATAGATTATATATTTCTTAGACTTGTGGAAGGTGGCTAGCTGTGTCCGAGTGCCGAAGTCTACTTATTGATAGGTGTAAGTATAAGATACTGAAAAGATTAAATTTAATTAGAGTATATATTTTATCTTAAGTGTAACTAAAGGTAGGCCGCTGAAGGTTTATATTTTAACAGATATAAAGCAACAGGCAGTACTTTACCTAGCGGTAATTTATAGCTAATTATTAGGTACTTAGAATCTTGCTTATACCAGCTGTAATTAGTCTAGATAGGCTATTATATAACTTTACGTATTTTGGGTTTAATTATATCAGCCCCTGATACTTTAACGAAATATTATAGGTTACTCGGTATACAGTTGGGTTCCAAAGTCTTCAGTCTTATTATACTGCTGAATCAAGTTCTTAAAGGTATATACTATTTATTGTATCAAGTTAATAATACTAGGGCTATAACCTATATATATATTATAATACGGTTAAAGGCCTAGCCTCACCGAGTAACCCGGAAAGCTTTAGACTAAAGGCGGATACCTTTCGCAAAGGTTGGGACTGGGTAAAATAACAGCAGGACAGGTTATTGCTTAAGCTGCCAAGATACTGTCCATTCTCAGATGAGAATACCAATTTCCAAGTAGCCTAGCTATATCGCTCTACTTTGAAGGCTGTTTCCCGTAAAATTTCGTTCCACGCGGTAGCCGACCTTCTCAATGCACTCGCGACCTGCAGCATTTCACCCTTAGTTGCCTTATCCTCCCCTTTCCCTAGACTTTCGACCCTAGGCAAGATGTACATACAGCAGAGGCTTGACTACGAACAGGTAGAGAATCTTTGCTCAAGTAGCTCGCTCCTTCTCCCGTCCAGCTCTCTACCCTGCCTGTCGTAGACGCTGCAGCGACGTCTCCATGTCCGCCAGAGTACTCATAGTATCGTCCAAGTGGGTAAAAAAACAAATATTAGCTCGGTGCTAGAGAAGTAGAGTTAGTGTAGTATCAATAAAAGCCCAAGACCAAGAGTCAAGGGGCAGCGGATTACTTATTGCCTCTATGTTAAGCGTCGTGCCATTGGAGTAGCTCCTCCAGCGACCGTAGATTCGTGTGGGCTTACACAGTCCCGATATCGTAGAGCATAACGACCTATTTGAAGAAGAGTGGAGGGAAGGGTGGATAGCGAGTGCTCGGAATCCTTTTGTTGTGATACGACCAAAAGAAAACAAAGCGTGAGTAACATCCAGCCAGGCACAGGCAACCAAAGCGATGCGCTCGAATAAGGCATAGCGCGTGCTTAGGAAGGTCATGCGAAGAACTTGGGTGATCAAGCAGCAGCTGCCGAGGTTCGACCCTATCTATTCCAATTTCCGCTTCGCTATAATTATCTAGGAGTTGAAGGTTAAAGCGGTGCTTTCGCAAAACTGAAAACGATCGATTAATTTTGGCTTTGATCTTTTAACCCTTCATTTTCATGCTGTGATTAGCAAGCGCGCCTCCATATATATACAAAATGGGACCCATAAGCGTGCTTGGTCCGACTACTAATCCGGCTGTTTGCAGACCAATCACATGTGACCCACACATCCGGAACAGTGAGAAACACTGCTATGTGATTGGTCGGATTAGATACTCTTTGCTCTATCCAGCGCCATAACATCGTCGTTGCATGTTTGCCGACAGCCCAGTACGGAACGAATAGCGCGGCGAACGTGCTGACACACCTCATCTGAACCTTCTAATCGATCCGCCTTGGTTTAATGGTGGGAATCGGAGGCGGAGTGCCGAGCAGGGTCAACATGCGTTTAGGCGACGTCGTTGGTGGGACAAGGGTGATGCAGTACGATCTAGGGAAGATCATCGACAGACAGACCCAGCGCACATCGATCCCGAAGAGCCCGCATCATCTGCTTAGCACGGCCCTATCGTCCCTACAAGAAAGGCATGAACCAAACGGTAGCCGAATCCCACTCATATTAAAGGATTTCTGTGCAGGTAGCTTGCTAGCGACCTTAGCTTTCCTGATGTCAATACAGATAGGTTGCTGGCGACCTTAGCTTTCCTGTTTTCTGTGCAGGTAGGTTGCTGGCCTATGTCTATTAACAGAAAACAGTTTTGCACGGCGCTAAGAAGTTGCTAGCAATCCATGACGTAAAACGGCTAACCAGAGCGCTTAGGCTGGCAGCCGCATAAAGAGCAGTTTGCAGGGCGCTGAGAGGTTACTGGCAGCATATTCCATAACAAAAATCAGGTAGCATAGCGGTAAGTAGTTAGTTGCTATATACCGAAAGGGATTTATATATAAACTACACACTATAGGAATAGGGGCTAGTTTGGATAACTATATATACCAAGATCATAGAGCTCCATGGTCCCAGAACAGGTCTCAGCTTACTATAGGTACCGACTCAAAGTTAAATACCCCCAAGCTTACCCTTATCCTTCCTCACAGCTATCAAATTTAGTATTTTAACCCTAAGATACTAAGTTAGTAACTAACTTATCCTTCCCTATAAGGAAAATAAAACTATAGAATAAAAGCTGTTACCTGCTAGAAGAGATCGCTTAAATAAGGATCTTATCAGGATAATAGAGCGGATAATATATAGATATAATAAGATTAGCCTTCAGGGTAACTTTAATATCTATCTTCTTATATATCAGTATAACAGGTATTATAAATATAATACTGCTAGTAATATATTATTCCCAGCCTCTATTAATAAGATTATAAGTAGTCTGATTAATTATTAATTCCTATAGCTTATTTAGTTATTTAATAAAGGGAAGATTATTTCTATGCCCTGTAAGAAAGATACCAGCCGACTATACTATAAAGGATAATAATAATAATTATTTAGATACCTAGAGTAATTTTTATAATTAAGTCTTTTTTCTATTTATCTGTGCTTATTTATAACCAGCTTATATTTAGAGATAAACTATTAATATCTATAAGCAATATATAAGAGCAGATATATAAAATCAGATACTACTAGGATAATAAAATAAATAGGAGTAATTAAGAAATACTAAGAGTAAATAATATATAAAAAGCTTATATAAGCCTTAGATATTAGGTCTAATACTAAATAGGAAGATAAATAGATATAGATAGAAAATAGATATTAGATTACTAGTAATCTATATAGAGAGTAGAAAATAAATTTAAAGAGTAGAAAATAGTATATATAGAAATTAGATAGAAGATAGAAAATAAATACTAGGTTATTAATAACCTATAAATATCTATATTAAGTAGAGTATCTATAATTTTAATCTAGTATAATAAAAATTAAATAATAGTAGCTAGTAAACTATTAATATTAGCTATTTAAGGAAAGCAGTTAGTATATAGTAAGATAAATAACTTAACTTTATATATATTAGTATATAGTAATTTTAATCTCTATAGAGATAAGGTTTAAAGCTTATTATATAGTAAGTTACTCTATATCTTAGTATTATTAAGCTACTAGACTAATACTAAGATCTATATTAGATATATATATAGCCTTTAGCTTACTTATAGTATTAATAGAATTAATTTTTAATTTAGAGTTCTATAGCCTGAATAATAGTTTAGTCTATATAATATACTTTATATTTAAAATTTATTTTTAATATAAAACTTAGTATCTTAATCTATAGTTTAACTATACTAAGTACTAAGAATTAGAACTTAACTTAAACTCTAGTTTTAAAAAGTAATTAGATATTATACTATAACTACTAAGCTATACTATAAGTATAAATAAATAAATATAATAAATAAGTATAAAATAAAGTAGAAAATATCTTAAAACTATATTTTATAGGAGATAAATATACTTTAGATTACTTATATAGGGAAAATATCTATTCTTATTAAGATAGTTCTTCTAGAAAAGTTTTAATAAACTATTTTCTCTATCTAGTATAATTTTCTTCTTTATACCCTTAATTACTCTAGTATTATACTATATCTTCTTAATTCTTTCTTTATCTTAATTAAGATTATTAGAAATTAGAATAATAATACTAAGAAAGATCTTATATTATTTATAGAATATATTAATACTAGAGGTTTTTTATAATCTACTTAGTAATAAAGCTTTAAGTAGTAAGTTACTCTCTCTATTTATATATTATAATTAAGATAATAATTATACTCTATTCTAAACTAAAAATATATATTAGAGAATACTAATAAATCTAGTAGAGCTAAGAGTAATTAGAATAATTACTATTATAACTATTTATTAATATATTAGTTTATTCCTAATTAATAATATCTTTAAAGAATAACTATTAGTAGGGAAAAAGTAATAGAAATAGCTAAGAAGGAAATAAAGATATAATAATAAGAAGATATATAAGAATATTATAATAAGAGACTAGAATAATAGAATTTACTTTCTTATAAAAGAAAATACTACTATACTAAATTAGATATAATTAGTAGTTTAAGAGCTTATTTAATAAGAGTTAATCTAGGTTTTATTATTATAATTATATAAATAGTACTATATTATAGTAAGATATATTTTACTCTTTATATCTATATAGTTCTAAATATATTAAAATAAAGAATCTCTATATCTATATATTAGGTATTATAAGTATAAGAATAATTATACTATATAGACTTTATATATAATCTACTAGTCTCTTCTATTTTATATAAGTATTATAGTATACTAAATAACTTTAGAGAGTAAGCTAGCTATATAAGATCTACTAAACCTATTCTAGAAATATTATTAATCCTTAGTTCTAAAGATTAATAAGCTAGATAGCTTATAAATATTATAATAACTAGGGCTATAAAGTAATACTAATAGTAGTAGAGCTAATTTCTAGTATTTAGTAAAGGGGATTAATAAAGTAAATTAAGCTTAAGAAGAAATAAAAACTAAATAAAGAAGATCTACTTAACTTAGTAATACTAGAGTAATTTATAATAGAAACTAATAGACTTATTTATCTCTAGATTAGAAAATATATTATAATTACTATAGTTTACTTAGCTTAATTATAATTACTATAGTTTCTTAATATATTATTTATTTTTTAAACTATTATTAATACTAATCTATAATTATTAAGGAAAAATAGATTTCTTTAGAAAAGATTATTTAGATTTAAACTATTATAATATAGTTATACTTTTTTATTTTATTTCTCTTCTTTTTTATATATAATATAAAGAAGTAATAATAGTTATAATAAAAAGTATATTATCTATCTTATATCCTATATAAGATCTAATATATAAGCTTATAGTTAGATTAAGTCTAATATATTATTTTTAGATTCCTATATTTAGAATTAAGCTTATAGAGCTTTCTCTTATTAGCTAGTTATATCTTACTCTATTACTAAGTAAATATTCTAAAAGTTAATCCTATTAAAACTAGGGAGTATTAATTATTTTAATATAGATTTTAATATTAACTATTTATATTTTATTCTATTATTAAGAGTTAAATATCTAAACTTATTTTACTATAGTATAAATAATAGTAAGATAATATAGATAAATATAAAATTCTATTTCTATTTTATACTTACTATTATCTAAACTCTTATTCTTAATAGTTAGCTTATCTTAAATAGATAGAATCTATTATTAACTTAATAATAGCTAAAACTTTATATAAAATATCTATTTAATTAGAAAAATAAAGATAGTAAACTTCTAGTCTTATACTATATAAAATCTAAATAAATTAACTCTATTTATACTTCTAATATATAAATCTATTATATACTTCTTATTATATTTCTTAATAGGGAAATTATAATTATAATTACTATCTATAGTAAGCTAGAGCTATAGAGATTAAACTATTCTAGTATTATTAAAACTATTAAAAATATTAATATTAACTATATTTAGATTATTAGAAAGGTTCTAGAGTATTAAGCTAATAAGTTAAAGTAGAATTTTATATATCTTATTTAAAAGACTAGAAAGAAAGTAGTAGTTACTATTATATAATATAGTAATAATACTTAGAAGCTAGTTTATATACTTATAAAAACTAATAATAAAGAGATTATATAAAATAAGCTAAAGTAAGAGAAACTTAATAGTAGAATATATTACTTCTAATAGCTTTTTAATCTAGATAATAATTAATAAATATTATATTATAAAAGATTTAAATAATTAGTATAAGCTATATACTATATAATAGTTAGGTAACTTATACTAAACAGGTCTAGGGTAGATTAGGGTTAAACTAATCAGAGTATTATTCTGAGTAGTATAATCAGGTTATCTTAGAACTATATAATAGGAGTTACTATTAATATATAAGTATTATAGAGCTAGTAATAATAAGTATATAGATAATAGTATTAATAATTATCTAAAGAAGTATTCTACCTAATAAAAATAAATATATATATATAATAGTTATAGAGTATAAAAAATATATTATTTCTAGTAATCTATTCTTATTCTATAATAGGAGTATAATACTCCTATTACTTCTATTCTTCTGATAGTAGGGTATATATAACTATATAATCTATTATAGAGGTCTTTATTTATAATATAATACCCTCTCTTTATTAGTTTTATTCTTAAGATTCTATATAATCTTAATAAGTTCCTCTCTTCTTTATATATAATAGTTATATTATAATATTTACTATATCTAACTATATAAGAAAAACAGTATACTTTAAGATTTATAAATAAGTTCTTCTTACTACTATTATTTAAATATTTAGTCTTCTAGCTAATATACTATATACTTTATATTTTAAGATAAAAAAGAAGTATTTTATTTTTCTAAATAGAAAGTTATTCTAATATAATAAATATATATAAAATAGCTATTATTATAATAGAATACTAGTTATATCTAACTATATATATCCCTTTATATATCTTATTTATATTTTTTCTAATTTCTTTTTTAGTAGAAAAATTAATAATATAGTAGAAAAAATTAGTAGAAGAAGAATCTGATATAAATAAAAAGATCCTTCTTTTATATTAATAGATAACTTAACTCTAAAGTAATCTATCTACTACCCTAGAGTATATTTAGTATATTTATAAGGTATATAAGTATATTAAAAGTAAGATATAATAGGAAATTTAATATAGTCTCTAAGAGCTTAATAAAAAAGAGTAACTATCTTCTAATTAAGCTCTTAACTTTCTTAAAGCTTCTAAATAATATATCTTAGAGGAAGTCTAGTTCTTAGAGATTATCTCTAAAATAGATTTAAATTTATTAGGTTTTAAGGAGGATTTTTCTAATTTAGCTTCTCTTTTTCCTTCTAGTAGAACTAGTAAATTAAATATTAGTACTTCTTTAAATACTTAATAGGTTTCTATATATTATTATTATTAGTATACTCTTTTTATTTAACTAGATAAAAGATTTATCTATTTCTAATTTCTTTCTTTAGAATTTTTTCTAGTTTAAATTCTTTTTTATAGACTTTAATTAGGTAATCTTAGTCTAGTATATTTTTTAGTATTTTTTTAAGTAATAAGATATAAAAAACTAGATAGATATATATTATATCTAGTAGTAATAGTTTATAGTTAATATCTAACTTTTTCTTTAGAATCTTAAATAATCTAAGTTTTTTATAGTTTAATTTATTACTTAGTTTTATTATTATAATATTTTTATAGAGTAGATAGACTTTATCTCCCTTCTTTAAGATTAATTTCTTTAATTTTATTTTATTATAATATTTTTTTATTTTCTCCTATATAAATTCTAGTTCTATTTTTATTTTAGTATATAATAAATATAATATTTCTTTTATAAGTATAGTAGCTAGTATATTAGATCTATTAAGTTTTAGTTAGTTCTAGAATTATAGTTTATAGCTATAGTTAGTATATATAGATATTAGTTAAATAAACTCTTATACTAAGCTATTATAAATAATCTATACTATTAGTAATAGTTATATCTAATTATTTTATTTATAGTTAATATATACTTATAGATATTATTCTAGGGTTTAATTTAATTATTCTATTTAACTATTACTTTATAGATAGTAAGCTATTAAAAGCTTATACTTAGTACTTATTTATACTATAAGTAATTATTAAAACTTAGAGATAAATATTATTCCTCTATTTAATATAATCTTATTAGATAATCTATAGTAACTAACTATATATTATAAAAACTAATATATAAAATCTTCTATAGAGCTTATTTTCTTATATAGAATAAAGTATTTATATTTTATAAATCTATTAATAACTATTAGAATACTATTATATTCTACTTTAGTTATAGATTCTTTTAATAATAGTAGTTTAATAATATAATTAAAGAATACTAATTATTATAGTTATTCTAATACTAGAACTAGTTTTAGTTCTCTATAGGGTTTATATTATATAGACTTAATTTATATATAAGTATTATATTCTAAAACTATAGTTTATATATTCTTTCTTAGATCTAGATAATTATAATATTATCTAATTCTATTAAATATTTTCTTAACTCCTTAGTATTCTAAGAGTAAATACTTATAGATTTCTTTAATAAATATTATTTTTACTTCCTATTATAGTTTATCTAAGCTAGAAATAGTTTCTATCTAGATTTTAATATATATTATTTCCTTAAGTATAGCTCCTAGGGTTTTCTATACTAAATATTCTTTATTATTAATTAAGAATAGTTATTTATTTATTTTTAGAATAGTTTCTTTATATTTAAGTTTTTAGCTAAGAGTATTAGCTCTTCTATTTTCTAATTCTTTTTAATATATTATTTTATAGTTAAATTAAGATAAATATTTAGTATAGTATATTTATCTTCTATTTAATTACTAAGTTATAGTAAAGTACTAAATATTTTTATAGTTTATATATATCTTAATCTTATATATTATCCCTAGATAGTAGTATTTAAATTCTTTAAATATATATATAATAGCTATAAATTCCTTATTATAGATAGAGTAATTAAGTTCTATACTATATAGTTTCTTTAAGAAGAATACTATAAGATATAATATTCTATTATTATTCCTTTAGCTAATTTATATACTAATTATAAAGTTTAATATATTAATTTTAAGTTCTACTTTCTTTATAGGGTTAAATATCTATAATATAGGTTCTAAGAGTATTTAGTTCTTAATTTTATTAAATATTTACTATTATTTATTATTCTATTAGAATTCTATTCTCTTTTTAGTAATATTATATAAGAATATAGTAATTTTTCTATAGTTTTTAATAAATTATTAGTAGTAATTAATAAATCTAAGAAAAACTTATACTTTCTTAATAGTTTTTAATACTTTTTATTCCTTAACTATAGTAATCTTACCTTATTCTATTTATATCTTATTTAGCTAAATAGTATATTCTAAAAAGTTAACTTCTTATATATAGAAGAAACTCTTTTCTAGTTTTATAAAAAGTTTAGCTTTCTCTAATTTCTCTAAGACTTAGTATATATAGTTCTTATATATCTCTAGATTATTTAAAAAGATTAAAATATTATTAAAGTAAATAATTATAAAGATATTAAAATACTTTTAGAGTACTTAATTAATTATTTATTAAAATATTATAGATATATTTATTAATTTAAAAGATATAATAAAATACTTATAGAAACTAAACTTTATTCTAAATACTATTTTCTATTTATTTTCTTTCTTAATTTATATTAAGTTATAAACTCTTTTTAGATCTAAAGTAGTAAACTATTATTTATTTTATAACTAATCTCTAAGTTTAGTAATTAGTAGTAAAAGTATTCTATCTTTATATATAATCTTATTTAGTTATTAATAATTAATAACTAAATAAAGTTTACTATTCTTTTTTAGTATAAATATTATAAGATATTCTATAGATAAAGTTAATAATTATATATAGTCTTTTATTAATATATTATTAATATATTTATAGAGTATCTATAACTAAGATTCTATAAGGTTATATAATTTATAGAAATTAGATTTTCTTTCTTTAATAATAGAGATTTTATAATCCTATTAGCTATATTTTAATAGCTCTATTTTAAGTTCTTCTATAAATAATATTTTCTTAAAATAATTATATTCCTATAGAATATTTTTAAGATATTCTTTTTATTTTAAATATTTAGTTTATTTATACTCCTACTAGATATTCTTTTTCTTATTCTATTATACTTTTTATTTATTATTTATTTAATTCTATTTCTAAATTTCTATACTAAATAGTTTTAAAGATAGTTTTTCTATTTTCTTTTACTATTAACTATATCTTACTTTATATTCTTATTATTATTCTTTTATTAGTTATTTCTAATTAATAGATATTAAATCTATATTTAAGAATAGTTTTTATTTTTATATCTAATTTAAGATTTATATTATCTATCTTAGTTCTTATTATAATAGATTTCTTATATTTCTAAATTATAATACTATTAAGGCTATAACTACTATATCTACTTATTATTATAAGTTATTATAGTTTTTTATAATAATATCTTTAGATATTAAAAAATAAATATATTTTTCTAATATTTAATAAAATTTTAATTTTTATTAATTCTAATATTAGTATATAAGAGTATTTCTTTACTCTATCTAGCTAGTATACTAATTAATTAGTAAGTTTATATCTTAAAGCTATAGTAACTCTAATATAACTTTATAAATTCCTAATAGTACTAGATTATAAATAATATTAAATTTCTTTTTTTAGATTTTAATTATAAGATAATTAATCTCTAAATTAATAATTCTATTATTATACTTAAATTTTAAGCTTTTAATATTTATAACTATATAGATTTCTTCTTTCTTTCTCTATAGTAAATAGAATTAGTTAATTACTACTAGTAAGATATAATTTTTCTATATTCTATAATTAATAAATACTATAAACTAGTTTCTTTTAATTTCTACTTCTATAAGAATATATATAGAGCTTTTTATTTCTATAGCTTCTAGAGTTCTCTAATCTATTATTAATATTATTCTATACTATAACTCTATTATAGATAGTTTAGATTATTTTTTACCTAGTTAATTTATTCTTATAGTTTATTTATTAATAATAGTATATTTTACTTATTATATATTTTATTCTATTCTTATTTATTAGTAGAGATAATTTCTAATTCTTTTTTATTACTACTTTTCTTACTATTTATAAATAAAGTTTAATTATTTAAGTATTATTTTTATACTTCTTCCTCCTAAAGTTATTATTACTTAAAATATAACTTAGTAGTATTTATATTATTATTACTATTCTATACTAATATTAATACTTCTTATTTAACTTCTTAGTAATTCCTATAGCTCTAGTTATAGTATAACTTAATATAACTATTATAATTATATATAGTTTAATCTTCTATTTACTAATAGTTATACTATAGTTTAATCTTATTATCTTAATAGATTTTATATTTCTATTCTTAATATATTTCTATTAGAAGTTCTCTCTCTATATATTCCTTAGAGTATTCCCTTAGGTTTTTCTTAAAAATAGTATAGGGTTCTATTCTATAATATTAATAAGTAAACTATTATATTTAGATTATATTATACTTCCTAGGTATTCTTCTATTAGAAAATAGAAAAAAATTATTTAATATTTTTTCTTATTAATATATAGTATACTAGATATTATAATATATTATCTATAATTCTAATCTATAGTTATATTTTCTATTAGTATTTATATATATTAGGTTCTTATATTTATTATTAAAGTATTAGATAGTATTTATAGTATTCCTTCTATATAATACTATTCCTTATACTTTCTTAAAGTTCTATATTTATATTTTTTATTAATAATAGGTATAAAGCTTATTATATTCTACTTTAATCTTATCTCTAGTAAATATATATTAGTTCTATTTCTTAGAGATATATTTAATAAGTCTATTAATATAATAGAATATATATTTATACTTAGTAAGAGATCTAATATCTATAATATTCTTTCTTTCTTTAAACTTCTATTTAAGTTCTCTAAGGGTATATATAATATATTATTAGTTTTCTTCTAATACTATTTATTTCTTCTTTTTATTACTAGTTTTTAATATTTTATAGAATTTTAATATAGGTTTTCTAGAAAATATAGATACTATAGTAACTATATAGTTTCCTTTCTAAATAGTTTTTCTAATTATTCTAAGTATTTTAGTTTTAGTTTTCCTAGTTATTTCTAACTATTTTTTACTTTTCT